TTGGGCAAAAATGGCCGCTCCCAGACTCAGTGATAGCGACGAAAATTATCATTTTTAAATTTTTCTACTCATTAACCTTAAATTCATTAAATCACAGCGAACGTATTAGTTTTAGGTAGAAATAATGACCCGTTGATCATTCCTTGCTGACCGGACTTTTCCTTTAACGCTGATACTGGCACTTACAGTTTTTAGTTTATAAGCCTTAATATAATTGTTAACTAGGCTTATTAACTCTTTAACTTCACCTTTTAACTCTTCAATTAGCTTTTTTTCTTGACTTGTTAATTATTTTTCATTTTTTTAATTAATTTCCAGCAGTAATATATACTTCAACGGCTCATCTAATTGGTCAAACGCCAAAATCTGATGTACAGCCATGTAGCAGGATCTTTGATCAATGGCTGGATATAGATCTTGTGCTTCTAGACCTCACTGAGGGACTGGCTCCATTTGTAAGGGGTATGCAAGGGATCAAAAATAGTAACTTGCCCTATAAAGGGTTACATTTTCAAGTTATCTTGAACAGACAAACATTACCTCCTTGGCAGAGGCTCTAAACTTCTAACCCAGAAGCACAAAAAACAACAGAGAGTCTGTGACGAGTCAACCTGTCTGTTTTGAGCTCAGAAAGGTGAGTCCAGGTGACACCAGCTGTTGCTTCCTGACACCAACCCGCTGGCTTCATATCCATCATATCCACTGTTCACCAAACGGTTTGCTGCTCAAGAAGAGGAGCGTTTGTTTTCTGCGGCGTGTGTAGGTGTAAATAACTGACAACAGGTGGGAGAGACTGGGCTGATGCAGGAGATGGATGGAGGAGGTGCAGCTGGCAGCCACGCTGCGGAGGTGTGTGACAGGAAGTGCGTGGGTGACTGTTACATGCATGTCTGAGGACAGCGTTAATGCATGTAGACGTGTTTGGGCCCTCACAGCCGCACCGGAAAAAGAGCCGATTCTGCAAATAATAGACCGGGAACGATCAAAACGGAAACCTTTAAACGAGGAAATGAGAAGAACTGAGGGAAAACTGAGGGAAGTGATTTTTAAAGTAAAACATTCACAATGAAAATGTGGTTAATTCAATCCGATTTCCTTCAAAAACAAAGCCAAGGCTGCCATTAGCTAAAGTGACTCCTTCTAATCAGACTCCTGCTGCAGCCAGAGAAACAACCACATCATCAGGAGAGCAACGGGCGATTAGAGGCTTTACGGGTTTGATTGGAATAAATGGCAGCCTGTGGAGTGCTTTACGTGTTTCCATCTATCCTCAGCCCACATTTCAGGCAAGTCTTAAAATGATGGTGTGAATTCTTCCTCTGTGAGTTGCTTATCAGTGTTTCCCTAATATTCATGTTATTCTTTATCATTTTCAGATGCAGAATAAAAGTAGAGGATTTCACTAATGCAACCAGGCCTCCTTTTTTACGGAGCGTGCGTTTATCCACGTTTCATTCACGCACTACACCCTATGAAGTGTGCACCTGGTCAGGGTGCAGGTGAGGGCTCCAGTGTGGGGGGGCTACAAGCATCCAAACATTGGAGGAAGGAGATAGGAAGTACATCGGCCTCTACAGCAGCCGAGGCCTTGAACAGACAGAACCTGTCACTGTTTTAACAATCTTAACGCTAAGATAATATTTTACACCTGCTACAAGAAAACATTTGGTTTCAGAAATGAATGGCAGTAGAATATGAGTCATTTTAAAGGAAAAGTTCGGTGTAGGTACCAGATCTACTCAGGCCCACATGACGCAACACGTTGTGGTTGCAAAGACGACAACAATAACATCCTGCGGTGTCAGTGCGCCGAGTCGGGAGCATCTTTAGCGTTAGCATGTCTAACGACCGATGAAGTTTTACCGGATCGATACCAAAACTGAAAAAAAATAATCTGTTTCTGGTGATCGAAGTAACTGTTAGACCATAAAATAAAGAGCTGGGTAGCACTGTGGCTAGCTGTGCTCAGTAGCTAACGGGTTAGCCTCTTTTAGCTCGCTCAGT